ATTTTCGCTTGGCTGACTTCAGGGGGGAGTCATCCAATTTTCCGCGCGCTCTCAAAAAAAATCGAAAAATTATGGAAATTGAGTTATATATACAGAAAATAGCTTAACTCTTTGGCAACACAATGGTATCAGAATCAATGTTCTACGACGTTTCTACAAGAAATTATAGTCATTTGTATCAGGTATGGTGACGGCTATATAGGTAGCACGTCTGCTCACAGCCCATATATTTTTTGGAATTTTTTCCTTGTTTTTTATAGCTTTTTCTTGCATTATTCTTTCTAATATAATAACTGACTATTTGGCATCATACAAAAGTAGGCGGAGCTTATCCGTAGAGTGGCAGCCAATCGGGTGCCAACTGGGAACCCTCTGCCATATTCCCGCTCCAGAGAGAGCCAGGAGAAATCACTTCATTATTACGCTTATATCAGCTTATATATCAACTCTACGGCTTATATATCTATCAGAATTGATTTAATATGATATAATAAACACTAAAATAACATACAAACATGTTATGTACTCTAGACTGAATAAAATAGGCCATAATATAGCGAGAGACCATCGGGAATATTTCGATATAAATGAGTTATTCCTCTCCATGTCGTCTTTGAGTAAGAGAAAACGGTGTTTTGAAGAGAATAACTGCACTAGAACATCAGTTTACTAAGAAATACACCCAAACAAACGCGATTTTCGCGATTTTTTTTTTTTTTTGAGACGGTGGGCCGGCCGGCGTTCCAGGCCAATATCTCGGAAGTAACTTATTCACCTAATGTACCTATTTCTTCCTTTATTACTTAATTAAATGGAATAATATTCACAGAAATTGTAGAATAATGATTTCTAATTTCCTTCGGGCAATTTTTGGAAATATTCCAAATACTTTGGGAGTTATGTGAGAGTAAAGGGCAGATTTTTTGCAACATTCCAAGAACTAACAAACTTTATTTTTTTGTGAAATAAAGATAAGTTATTTAGACGAAAAGGTCCCTAAGAAAATTCGTATTAGCATTGTTCTCTCGGCACCAAGTGTCCAAACAACCTTACGTCGTCCCATATAGGAATAAATTGCCCCCCAAGGGCATTTTCAGTAAATCAGTCCTTTTTCAGTCTTTTCTCAGTTGTTGTTTGAGGTATATTTTTGATAAATATTTTCAAGGAAGAGTGAAAATACATTGTCTTGTGCACCAAAACTGGAGGAAATCGGACGGTAGACAAAAAAACTATAATTAATTGCCCTACTGCTCCCTTCATGGGACTGAAAAATTACCTGGGTGGGCTAAATTGGGATGTCCTGACTCTGGGTCATATTGGCAACCAAGGTCACCTACGTGATCTTGGTTGCCAATATGACGTTTTTCAGAGCATAGTTCAAGCTGCCTAGACAACTTTTGTTCCTAGTAGGGAAATTAAATCTAACAAAAATGATCCCAAATGGATGAACAATAGATTGAAACCTCTCAAAAGTGATGATCAAAAGAGAGGCATATATAGGCGTGTCAAAAGAGGGGATGGGCAGTTAAGAAATCAACATATTGAATTAAAGAGAGAAATAAAGAAAGGAATAAGAAAAGCAAAAAGGGATTATGAGGCTAAGGTCACAAGGGATTCAAAGACCAACCCAAAAGGGTTCTTTCAGGTATACAGAAGTAAGATTAGGGACAAGATTGGCCCACTTAAGAGTAACTCTGGTCAGATCACTGACAGTGATAAGGATATGTGTGAAATTCTTAATACCTACTTCCTCTCAGTTTTCACCCAGGAAAATACTAGCGATATTCCTGAAATAATAGATTATGTAGAACAGGACGATAATAAACTATGCACGATTGCAGTAATTAGTGACATGGTCCTCAGACAAATAGAGAAACTAAAACCTAACAAATCCCCAGGCCCTGATGAACTGTTTGCAAGGGTGTTAAAGGAATGTAACGAGGAACTTAGTATACCTTTGGCTAATCTTTATAACATATCACTACAAACTGGCATAGTGCCTGATAAGTGGAAAATGGCAGATGTAATACCTATATAGAAGGCAGGTAACAGGTCCTTGGCTTCGAACTATAGACCAATAAGCCTTACCTCCATAGTGGGAAAATTTATGGAATCAATAATTGCCGAAGCAGTTATTAGCCATCTTGATAGACACAGATTAATTAATGAATCTCAACACGGTTTTACAAAGGGGCGCTATTGTCGTGCGAATTTACTAACATTTTCACTAAGGTGTTTGAGGAGGTAGATCATGGTAAAGAATATGATATTGTGTATATGGGCTTCAGTAAGGCTTTCGATAGAGTTCCATATCAGAGACTATTGAGGAAACTTAAGGCACACGGAATAGGAGGAGAAATTTTTTCCTGGGTAGAGGCACGGTTGACAAATAGGCAGCAGAGAGTTTGCATAAATTGAGAGAATTCAGAATGGGGGCACGTCAAAAGCGGTGTTCCTCAGGAGCCAGTGTTGAGCCCGTTGTTGTTCACAATTTACATAAACGACGTAGATGAGGGAATAAATAGCGACATAAGCAAATTTGCTGATGACACCAAAATAGGCCGTCCAATTCATTCTAATGAGGACACTAGAGCACTCCAGGATGATTTGAATAGACTGATGCAATGGTCGGAGAAGTGGCAGATGCAGTTTAATATAGACAAATGTAAAGTTCTAAATGTTGGACAGGAAAATAACCATGCGACATATAAACTAAATAATGTAGATCTTAATACTACTGATTGCGAAAAGGATTTAGGAGTTCTGGTTAGCAGTAATCTAAAACCAAGACAACAGTGCATTAGTGTTCGCAATAAAGCTAACAGAATTCTTGGCTTCATATCTAGAAGTGTAAATAAAAGAAGTCCTCAGGTTGTTCTTCAACTCAATATATCCTTGGTTAGGCCTCATTTAGACTATTCTGCTCAGTTCTGGTCACTATTACAGAATGGATATAAATGCTCTGGAAAACGTACAGAGGAGGATGACAAAGATGATCCCATGTATCAGAAATCTTCCCTATGAGGATAGACTGAAGGCCCTGAATCTGTACTCTCTCGAAAGGCGTAGAATTAGGGGGGGATATGATCGAGGTGTATAAATAGAAAACAGGAATAAATAAAAGGGATGTAAACAGCGTGCTGAAAATTTCCAGCCAAGACAGGATTCGCAGCAATGGTTTCAAGTTGGAAAAATTCAGATTCAGGAAGGATATAGGAAAGCACTGGTTTCGTAATAGAGTTGTGGATGAGTGGAACAAACTCCTGAGTACAGTTATTCAGGCTAAAACGTTGTGTAGTTTTAAAAATAGGTTAGATAAATACATGAGTGGGTGTGGGTGGGTGTGAGTTGGACCTGACTAGCTTGTACTGCTGGGTCTGGTGCCGTGCTCCTTCCTTGAGTGGAGGTGACCAGACTGGGTGGGTCATTGGGCTAATCCGGGGGGAGGGGGGGTTGACATGGACCTGCTCTGCCTGTTGCAGTGTTCCTTCTTTCTTATGTTCTTATGTTCTTGAGAGATAACTCATTAAGTGTAAAGGGACCACGATTCTTTAACAACCTCGTTTCATGCATGAGGAGGATTATGCATGAACCCTTTCCGGCTCTCGAAGGAGATACCTTTGTGAATCTGTTCATGATAGCTATGTATGGCATTATCTAGGGCAGAAGCTGAGTTGTGGCCGTCATCACGGCCTCACTGTAGTCACTGGGCGGAACACTATAGGTTCCGCAAATCATTTCCTGATCAATCGGGCTGTGGTACATAGTTTGGCTGCGGAAGGCGGGAACCAACAGCCTGATCGATCATGCCAGCAACCAGGAGGCCTGGGCGGTGACCCTCCGAAAGAGATTACAGATAACCTACAGGTACACAAATAACCCGCACATAGAAGAGAGGAGCTTACGTCTACGTTTCGGTCCGACTTGGACCATTTACAAAGTCACACTAACCAGAAGTGGAGCAGGACGGCTATATATAGGCAGGAAGAGGTAGTGGTGGTGGTGGTAGTAGTAGTAGTAGTAGTAGTAGTAGTGGTAGTGGTAGTGGTAGTGGTAGTAGTAGTAGTGGGGAATTAAGGAGGAGGAGCCAATCAAATACAAAGAAAGGGGAGCACTGCAAGGGAGCTAGGTGCCCACAGAGGGAGAGCAAGTGCACAGAGGTGAAGGGAAGGGGAAGCGATGAAATAAATAATGAAGGAACAGAAACACGCGACAGAAGAAAGACAAAAAAAAAAAAGAAAGAGGAAAGGGGAAAAGGGAGAAGAAAAAATAAGGAATCAAGGTAAGTCACGGGTGTTGTGAAGTTTGGAGCATTTTACAATGTAGTGGGAGAGGAAGGCATCTACAGAGACGAAGCCAGGACTAAGATTCATACAAGGAAAGTTGTGTATTAGAGAGGATTCAACTAGACGGCGATTGTTAGAGTTGGAAGTAGGGAAGACAGTTTTAGCGGAAGACCAGTCAATAGGATGGCTGTGATCTCTGACGTGACAGAACAGAGCATTGTTAGTGTCGGCAAGGCTAACACTATTTTTGTGCTACCTAAGTCTGTCAGAAAGAGATCGGCCAGTTTCTCCAAAGTACTGAAGAGGACGGGAAGAGCAATAAATAGAGTAGACACCAGGAACATCTGTAGAGGGAGGAGAGGTATGAACGAGATTAGTGCGAAGAGTGTTAGTCTGGCGGAAAGTAAGCTTGATGTCTAAGGGACGGAGAGAATTGTTGAGATTAGAAAGACCGGAAATGTAGGGAAGGCAGGGGACAGAAGAGTTCCCAGGAGTAGAGAGTCTGGGAGAGAAGAAATTACGTTTAGCACGTGAGAAGGCAGAGTCTAACTGACAGATAATCTACAGGTAACTGATAATCTACAGGTAACAGATAATCTACAGGTAACAGCTACATTCTTTCCTCCTCCTCCCACGGCCTCTGCTTCACCCACCTTGTTATATGACTCTTGTGGGTTTAGCGCTTAGTTATGCTTGAAATAATAATGCACTCACCTTGGAGCTGGCCTGTGATGGAGTCTCGTAGCGCCGCCTCTCTCTCTCTCTTGGTGACGGGGTTCCACATGTAGCGGTGGAGGCTGGAGATGATGTGAGTGCCCACCAGTGTGAACCTGCCAAAACTGCGGCAGTCTACCACACGCAGGGTGATGGGCGGGCAGTACAGCTCCTGCTCCGGCAGTTCCTGCAAGGAAAGAAGCAACGTGTCACACCACTCTCATAAGTGAGACAGTGAAGGGACAGGAGGTAAAACCTGGTTATTTCTCGGGAAGGGAGAGAGACTGGGAAACTAAACATAAAAGGGTAGTGGAACTTCTTCAGCTTGAGGAGAGACACACCGGGAACTCAGCAACAGGAGGCAAGACCTATACTTCTTCAGAAGAGAGCGACATAGGCACACTAAACCCATGAATAACTATAAGGTTGTGTCAGGTCAGCCATGAGGAGAATGAGAGAGATACAGAAGCATGCAAGACACTCTCCTGTACACAACGTTAATCAACATATGAATGTATATGGTCGTACCTCTCGTGCAGTATGTGGTCGTACCTCTCGTGCAGTATATGGTCGTACCTCTCGTGCAGTACTCTGATACTCAGTCATCCTCAACATATTTATTATAGTTCGGCCGCTGTATCTCTGATCAATTATTTTGCTCTCAAACAAAATTTTGCAAAATTAGTACTTGAAATTCTGTTATCTAAATGATCAGTGACATTCATATTGAATCAACAAATATGCAAATAAACAAATATATGAATATACAAGTATGTAATCAATACATCTTCAGGAGCTTACAATGTTGCATAAATAAATAGGAAGTCCAGGTTCCTTTGAACGAATCTGCCTGGACTTCATACTCATTTCTGCAACATTGCAAGCTCCTGAAAATGTGTTGATTGCTGCACTAAAAGCCTAGAGCTATCATTTAACTTCCCCTGTAGTTTTCTGCATTTTATATTGCAATTATTTCATATATATATATATATATATATATATATATATATATATATATATATATATATATATATATATATATATATATATATATTTTATTATCACACTGGCCGATTCCCACCAAGGCAGGGTGGCCCGAAAAAGAAAAACTTTCACCATCATTCACTCCATCACTGTCTTGCCAGAAGGGTGCTTTACACTACAGTTTTTAAACTGCAACATTAACACCCCTCCTTCAGAGTGCAGGCACTGTACTTCCCATCTCCAGGACTCAAGTCCGGCCTGCAGGTTTCCCTGAATCCCTTCATAAATGTTACTTTGCTCACACTCCAACAGCACGTCAAGTATTAAAAACCATTTGTCTCCATTCACTCCTATCAAACACGCTCATGCATGCCTGCTGGAAGTCCAAGCCCCTCGCACACAAAACCTCCTTTACCCCCTCCCTCCAACCTTTCCTAGGCCGACCCCTACCCCGCCTTCCTTCCACTACAGACTGATACACTCTTGAAGTCATTCTGTTTCGCTCTATTCTCTCTACATGTCCGAACCACCTCAACAACCCTTCCTCAGCCCTCTGGACAACAGTTTTGGTAATCCCGCACCTCCTCCTAACTTCCAAACTACGAATTCTCTGCATTATATCACACCACACATTGCCCTCAGACATGACATCTCCACTGCCTCCAGCCTTCTCCTCGCTGCAACATTCATCACCCACGCTTCACACCCATATAAGAGCGTTGGTAAAACTATACTCTCATTACATTCCCCTCTTTGCCTCCAAGGACAAAGTTCTTTGTCTCCACAGACTCCTAAGTGCACCACTCACTCTTTTTCCCTCATCAATTCTATGATTCACCTCATCTTTCATAGACCCATCCGCTGACACGTCCACTCCCAAATATCTGAATACGTTCACCTCCTCCATACTCTCTCCCTCCAATCTGATATTCAATCTTTCATCACCTAATCTTTTTGTTATCCTCATAACCTTACTCTTTCCTGTATTCACCTTTAATTTTCTTCTTTTGCACACCCTACCAAATTCATCCACCAATCTCTGCAACTTCTCTTCAGAATCTCCCAAGAGCACAGTGTCATCAGCAAAGAGCAGCTGTGACAACTCCCACTTTGTGTGTGATTCTTTATCTTTTAACTCCACGCCTCTTGCCAAAACCCTCGCATTTACTTCTCTTACAACCCCATCTATAAATATATTAAACAACCACGGTGACATCACACATCCTTGTCTAAGGCCTACTTTTACTGGGAAAAAATTTCCCTCTTTCCTACATACTCTAACTTGAGCCTCACTATCCTCGTAAAAACTCTTCACTGCTTTCAGTAACCTACCTCCTACACCATACACTTGCAACATCTGCCACATTGCCCCCCTATCCACCCTGTCATACGCCTTTTCCAAATCCATAAATGCCACAAAGACCTCTTTAGCCTTATCTAAATACTGTTCACTTATATGTTTCACTGTAAACACCTGGTCCACACACCCCCTACCTTTCCTAAAGCCTCCTTGTTCATCTGCTATCCTATTCTCCGTCTTACTCTTAATTCTTTCAATTATAACTCTACCATACACTTTACCAGGTACACTCAACAGACTTATCCCCCTATAATTTTTGCACTCTCTTTTATCCCCTTTGCCTTTATACAAAGGAACTATGCATGCTCTCTGCCAATCCCTAGGTACCTTACCCTCTTCCATACATTTATTAAATAATTGCACCAACCACTCCAAAACTATATCCCCACCTGCTTTTAACATTTCTATCTTTATCCCATCAATCCCGGCTGCCTTACCCCCTTTCATTTTACCTACTGCCTCTCGAACTTCCCCCACACTCACAACTGGCTCTTCCTCACTCCTACAAGATGTTATTCCTCCTTGCCCTATACACGAAATCACAGCTTCCCTATCTTCATCAACATTTAACAATTCCTCAAAATATTCCCTCCATCTTCCCAATACCTCTAACTCTCCATTTAATAACTCTCCTCTCCTATTTTTAACTGACAAATCCATTTGTTCTCTAGGCTTTCTTAACTTGTTAATCTCACTCCAAAACTTTTTCTTATTTTCAACAAAATTTGTTGATAACATCTCACCCACTTTGCTCTCTTTTTACATTGCTTCACCACTCTCTTAACCTCTCTCTTTTTCTCCATATACTCTTCCCTCCTTGCATCACTTCTACTTTGTAAAAACTTCTCATATGCTAACTTTTTCTCCCTTACTACTCTCTTTACATCATCATTCCACCAATCGCTCCTCTTCCCTCCTGCACCCACTTTCCTGTAACCACAAACTTCTGCTGAACACTCTAACACTACATTTTTAATCCTACCCCATACCTCTTCGACCCCATTGCCTATGCTCTCATCAGCCCATCTATCCTCCAATAGCTGTTTATATCTTACCCTAACTGCCTCCTCTTTTAGTTTATAAACCTTCACCTCTCTCTTCCCTGATGCTTCTATTCTCCTTGTATCCCATCTACCTTTTACTCTCAGTGTAGCTACAACTAGAAAGTGATCTGATATATCTGTGGCCCCTCTATAAACATGTACATCCTGAAGTCTACTCAACAGTCTTTTATCTACCAATACATAATCCAACAAACTACTGTCATTTCGCCCTACATCATATCTTGTATACTTATTTATCGTCTTTTTCTTAAAATATGTATTACCTATAACTAAACCCCTTTCTATACAAAGTTCAATCAAAGGGCTCCCATTATCATTTACACCTGGCACCCCAAACTTACCTACCACACCCTCTCTAAAAGTTTCTCCTACTTTAGCATTCAGGTCCCCTACTACAATTACTCTCTCACTTGGTTCAAAGGCTCCTATACATTCACTTAACATCTCCCAAAATCTCTCTCTCTCCTCTGCATTCCTCTCTTCTCCAGGTGCATACACGCTTATTATGACCCACTTCTCGCATCCAACCTTTACTTTAATCCACATAATTCTTGAATTTACACATTCATATTCTCTTTTCTCCTTCCATAACTCCCCTCAAGGAAGGTTCCTTGATGTTGGTGAGGGGCTCTTGATTTAGGGAATTGGATCTGTGCTCCAGTTCCCCAAATTAAGCCTGAATGCCTTCCACATCCCCCCCCAGGCGCTGTATAATCCTCCGGGTTTAGCGCTTCCCCCTTGATTGTAATAATAATAATCCTTCCATAACTGATCATTTAACATTACTGCTACCCCTTCCTTTGCTCTAACTCTCTCAGATACTCCAGATTTAATCCCATTTATTTCCCCCCACTGAAACTCTCCTATATATATATATATATATATATATATATATATATATATATATATATATATATATATATATATATATATATATATATATATATATATATATATATAATATATATATATATATATATATATATATATATATATATATATATATATATATATATATATATATATATATATATATATATATATATATATATATATGCAAGGAATTCGCAAGAGCAGGCGAAATATACACAAACACTGATCTCTGGCTGAAGGAGACTCGAACCTACGAACATTGTGAATAATAGACAATACTTGATGAACAGTGTAACAACGAATGTTGCGATCCTGACAGAGTGTAGTGTGACATTCTTCAAAGAACACCAATACCCAGTGATCAGAGGGCCCCCCGGCCCTGCCTGTGTAACAAGGTGACTCCCGGCCCTCCCAGTGTAACAAGGTGACTCCCGGCCCTGCCTGTGTAACAAGGTGACTCCCGGCCCTGCCTGTGTAACAAGGTGACTCCCGGCCCTCCCAGTGTAACAAGGTGACTCCCGGCCCTCCCTGTGTAACAAGGTGACTCCCGGCCCTCCCTGTGTAACAAGGTGACTCCCGGCCCTCCCTGTGTAACAAGGTGACTCCCGGCCCTCCCTGTGTAACAAGGTGACTCCCGGCCCTCCCTGTGTAACAAGGTGACTCCCAGCCCTCTCTGTGTAACAAGGTGACTCCCGGCCCTCTCTGTGTAACAAGGTGACTCCCGGCCCTCCCAGTGTAACAAGGTGACTCCCGGCCCTCCCTGTGTAACAAGGTGACTCCCGGCCCTCCCTGTGTAACAAGGTGACTCCCGGCCCTCCCTGTGTAACAAGGTGACTCCCGGCCCTCCCTGTGTAACAAGGTGACTCCCGGCCCTCCCTGTGTAACAAGGTGACTCCCGGCCCTCCCTGTGTAACAAGGTGACTCCCGGCCCTCCCTGTGTAACAAGGTGACTCCTCACTTTCCTTGTTTTACAAGGTAATATTAACCCACCCCCCCGGGTTCCCTCGCGGAGCTTACCAGGTCGATGTACTTGACGGGGCTGGTGAAGTTTGGGTTCTTCCTAGCGGAGGTGAGCACGGCAGACTGGATAATGTGACCTGCCACCTCCACGTCTACCCTCGGGCGGTCCACCGTCAGGAGGTGGATCCTCTTCAGGTCCCGCAGACCCCAGAACAATACCTGCGGAAACAGACACATAATGACACAAAAGCAAAAGGAACATTAATGAGGACGTGGGAAAGGACAAATAAAAAGTATACTTGAAAGTTATCTGTTTAAGGAAAAACTACTGTACAGTGTCTGCGGGATACAGTGTCTGCAGGATACAGTGTCTGCAGGATACAGTGTCTGCAGGATACAGTGTCTGCGGGATACAGTGTCTGCAGGATACAGTGTCTGCAGGATACAGTGTCTGCAGGATACAGTGTCTGCAGGATAGTGTCTGCAGCATATAGTGTCTGCAGGATACAGTGTCTGCAGCATATAGTGTCTGCAGGATACAGTGTCGGCAGGATGCAGTGTCGACAGGACAGTGTCTGTAGGATATAGTCGGCAAGATGTAGTGTCAGCAGGATACATTATCGGAAGGATATAACGTCTGCAGGATAGTGTCGGCAGAACAGTGCCTGCAGAATATAATCTCCAGGATATAGTGTCAAGCAGGATACAGTGTCGCAGAATATAGTGTAAGTAAGACTCAGTGTCGGCAGGATACAGGGTCGGCAGGATATAGTGTCGGCAGGATATTGTGTCGGCAGGATACTTTGTCAGCAGGATATAATGTCGGCAGGATACAGTATCGGCAGGATGCAGTGTCGGTAAGATATAGTGTCGGCAGGATACAGTATCGGCAGGATATAGTGTCGTCACGCTATTGTTTCGGCAGGATATAGTGTCGGCAGGATATAGTGTCGGCAGAATACAGTGTCAGCAGGATATAGTGTCGGCAGGATATAGTGTCGGCAGGATATAGTGTAGGCAGGATATAGTGTCGGCAGGACATAGTGTCGGCAGAATATAATGTCGGCAGGATACAGTGTCGGCAGGATATAGTGTCGGCAGGATATAATGTCGGCAGAATACAGTGTCGGCAGGATATAGTGTCGGCAGGATATAGTGTCGGCAGGACATAATGTCGGCAGAATACAGTGTTGGTAGGATACAGTGTTGGCAGGATATAGTGTCGGCAGGATATAATGTCGGCAGAATACAGTGTCGGCAGGATATAGTGTCGGCAGGATATAATGTCGGCAGAATACAGTGTTGGTAGGATACAGTGTTGGCAGGATATAGTGTCGGCAGGATATAATGTCGGCAGAATACAGTGTCGGCAGGATATAGTGTCGGCAGGATATAATGTCGGCAGAATACAGTGTTGGTAGGATACAGTATTTGCAGGATATAGTGTCGGCAGGATATAGTGTGGGCAGTATACACCCACGGTAGGAAGGCTTTCAAACTGTGTTTAACCGAATCGGGTATCTGCAAAGTGTTTATCCAAATGCGTCCTGAAGGGTTATTGTATTCACATCAGAGGGAAGTCTGTTACACGGTATATAACTTGTTCTGTGTTCTCCCGGTTGTCTCAGAGTTTCGTATGACTCAAGAAATCGTAATGACATGATTGCAAACAAACCATACCCCCGGCCGGGATTGAACCCGCGGTCATAGAGTCTCAAAACTCCAGCGAGTTTCATATCTTTGTTTCGTGACGTTACATCACTTTACACTTCATTTTTTAACATGTAGAAGTGTTAATGTGATCTTCTCGTGGTCTTCGTTTCTACAATGATCCTTTCATTTTGAGGTTCATTTTCTTTTAATGAAACTATGAAGTTTCTGGCCCTTCCCTGCAACATTTTCTATTTGTCTGAGTTCTGGCAAGCACATTCTATTGTGGTAATGTTCTTCGTAGAATTTTGATTTTTTTTTAGTTACGAGACTTATAATTATGTTGATGTTGTTGTTCTTAGCTACACATTGTTTTAAACTTTGCTAAGATTAATGTTTAATATGCTTGTATTGGAAATGTTATATCCAGCTCCTACACACACTCGCCTCATACAATTAATCACTAATACATTCACACTGAAAATCTCACACATTCAGAAAGATTCAGGTAATTTCAAGCAGTTATTCTCTCATTCATACACAAGCATAAGCACTCATACACAAGCACTCTTTCACACTCACTTTCTCGTCCCTATCGTGTGTAAAGGTTCAAGAGAAGCGCCACCCACCTCGAGTCTGTACTTGGCCAAGGTGGGTCTGATACCCCTGGGGACGGGCAACACGGGTCCAGAGTCCCCACAGTGATGTTCCTTAGCCTGGGGCATGGCTACCACGTCCCCACCTTCCTCACCATCCTGGAACTAAAAACAAAACATACCTTCAAGTCATCAGCGGCTCAGAAGGAATAACAATTAACGTCCGTGAAAAAGCAACTAAAACACAAAATGACATTGTGCTGGAATCATGGAAAAGTATTTAAATCCTTTTCCTGGTTTACTGAACATGAAACTTGGACAACATAATTAAAGACATATATGAAGAAAAGATACATCCTGCTGAATAAGCTTATTTTGGGACTACGTTATTACAAGTAAATATTTTACCCAAACTTGTTTCTTTTCTTCACTGGTGTTGTCAGTACGCTGCTTGAATACAACTGAAACACACATTTGGAATGAGATTTATAATTGATTGGAAATGCATCTTTTCTCCTCAGAGGGAAGATAAGAATTACGAGGCTTCATTATTTGGATGCTTAAATGCTTTTATTAAGGGTAAGGTGACAATTAGTCAGTGGCAATTAGAATGTAGAAGGGCTTTGCAAAGATCTTAACAAGCATGGACTCAGGGAAACACTTGTATAATTTTAGTGATAAAGTATATTTGTATCGTTTTACGGATCACTAGGTTCAACGGTTATGATAGTGCAACCATGGAATACCAAGATGGCTCAGAAACCTGCAGAAACGTTTAGAGTTTCAATTTAGGTTCTTTAAATTACTTAAAGAATTACACGTACACCTAAATATATAGTTAAAAGCTTACATCTGTTGATGTGCTGGAGTTCTAAAAAGTACAGGAATAAGAATGTTGCAGGTAGCTTCACTGCGTGGCTGTAACTAGAGGAGTTCGATGATGTTTTCTGGAGGATAAGAACTTCAAAGGTTTTATTTGGACGAATTTGAAGACCTTACCTGGAAGCATTCAAAAAACTTACCAGGATTAGTAAGAAAGTCTTACCTAGAGCGGCTAGAGCAATGTGAAAGTCATATATGGAGAAGTTCGAAAGTTTGACCAGAAGCAGTTTAAGGGTCTCACCTGCAGAAGTTCGAAGGTAGCAAGGAGCTCCCCAGCGTGGTCGGTGCCGCGGAATATGTCGTGCCACTGAAGGTGTGGTCGTCTGTAGGGTTCCTCTCGTAGCTTGATGTGAGGACGAGCCAAGGCCCTCCCGATGAACTCTGACTTACCCTGTGGAGGAAGAGAAGGTGAGCAGGGCAGAGAGAAAGGTTAGCGGGGGGGGGGGAAGAAGGGGTGATGAATGAGAGGGGAGAGAGGAAGGTTAGTTAATGGGTAGGTGGAAGGTTAGTGGGTGGAGAGAAGGGAAGGTTAGTGAGTTGGGAGAAGGGAAGGTTAATGGGTGGGGTAGGGGGGAAGGAAGGTGGGTGGGGTTGGGGGGAAGAAAAAAGCCCACTGGGTAGAACGAGGATGGTTGGTAGTAAGGAAGTCGGGAAAGGTTAGTGGGGTGAGGAGGATGGTGAGTGGGAGGTGGGGATGGTTTGAATAAATTATTTAGAAAACTGACAAGATGATGAATAAGACACTTGTGGCCTCTTCAGTCCAATGCAGAGAAACGAATCGGTGGAAGATGAGAAGTTTGAAATAATTAGTCCCTCAGTCTCGAGTCGACCGAACACATTGACTCCAGGCTGAGTGACTGATTACTTCAAACTCCTCATTTTTCACCGTTTTTCTGCAACCCTTCAACCCTCTCGATAATACTTTTATAAATCCCGCACCTCCTTTTAATCTCCAAGTTTACCTGCATTATATTCACACTGCACATTGACCTCAGACACAACATCTCAACTGCCTCCAGCCTTCTCCTTGTTGCAACATTCATCACCAATGGTTTACACCCATATAAGAGCATTGGTATAACTATATTCTCATACATTCCCCTCTTTGCTTCCATGGATAGCGGTCTTTGTCTCCACAGACTCCTCAGACCACTCACCTTTTTCCGCTCGTTAATTCTATGATTCACCTCGTCTATCTAAGATCCATCTGCTGACAATTCCACTCCCAAGTATATGAATACATTCATTTCATATATATATATATATATATATATATATATATATATATATATATATATATATATATATATATATATATATATATATATATATATGTCGTGCCGAATAGGCAGAACTTGCCATCTTGGCTTAAATAGCAAAGCTCATCTTGCCATATAGGACAAGTGAAAATTTGTGTATGCAATAATTTCGTCAAAATCATTCTGAACCTAGCGAAAAAAATATATTTGATTGTGTTTGTTTAGTATTAAATTATTGTAAACGTATTTAAAATATATATAATTGGGTTAGGCTAAAATAAATTGTTCTTGTTATAATAAGGTTAGGTAAGTATTCTAAGATTCTTTTGGTGCAAAATTAAAATTTTTTACATTAACAATAATGAAAACAATATATCTTTAAACGTATAAAAGAAAATTTCAGAGAGGACTTAATTTTAAATGAGTTCTTGCTAATTGACCAGTTTTACATATTCGGCACGACATATATATATATATATATATATATATATATATATATATATATATATATATATATATATATATATATATATATATATATATATATATATATATATATATATATATATATATATATATATATGATGGGGTCCACTTCTGGTGTAAATTGTGGGATCCATGGCCTCGGAGAAGTGGATAAAAAGGCTTCAAGGAAGAATATTTGGATTTCTTCCTGAAGCCGTTTGAATATTCCACTTCCCCTACCACCCCATCTTTTCATTCTTTTTTACCAATAGGTATATTTTATTACATAATATGGTTCAAAAAGGTTTAAGAGACACATTGTTGATATACAGATGGTATATACAGTACATGAGATGTGAAAGATAAATATCTAGTATATATTGTTACGTGTTTCTCACTGATTATAATGCGAAAATCTCATCCAGCTCCTGAGAGCTGTGACGCGTGCCCAAAATACAGCAGACATTACCCCTCTGAAGGCCGCACTGAGTCGCTGGAACAGAAAACTAGCTGCCCTGGGATCCTTAGTTACCCTAGCTCCTTAAGGAACTTAGATACACTCTTTCCCCATGAGCCAAGGGTCTCTGAGCCTATGGGGACAAACATATAATGATGGGCAAGTTCTCAATATTTTCTAGACTTTTGTGACTCCCTGAAGCTGGCAACTGCCCCTCCTTCCTCCCTGGTGTTTTGGAGGTAGGCATCAGCCAAGGTAGATGCATATGTGTAGTCCCACACCACCTGCTTACCGTCTGTCCAGGCTTGAAGTGTGATACCATCTGGACGCTTCTGGCTGCCATCAGATCTGCATAATTGGGGTGGCTCCCTTAATGCTGGGCATCCGGCTGTTGTTAGGCTCCTCTTGGTAATGTTATTAACCTCCTCATGTCTTGCAATCTTTCCCTCGGATTTACGGTACACAAGACCATGGTACCTGAATCGGTCAGCTGCTTCACTGCCACAAATACACCTGTGTTCGGCGAGAATAGGGGCGGCAAGACAAAGGGCAACACCAATGCGGATGGTCTGTGGGTCGAGCCGTGTGCCAAGGCTGGAGTTGGGAACAGCCAACAGAAAGTAGTCCCCTGCATGAGGAGCTCTCACTGCCAGAAGGCGGGCTCTATCCTTCCCTGACACACTCTGAAGCATTGTTGAGGCTATTTTCTCCACTATCGGGTCATCCCAGTGCGACTGTTTGTAGTTGTTGGGGGTTTCAGAGCCCGTTAGATTATCCCAGATCATGGCTTCGTCAATGAGCTTTTGGTCCTGGACTCCAATCTTGTCACTAAGATGTTCAGGGAGAATCGCTGCTACAAGGCCCTCTGGATGCAATGCATGAGGACAGGAAAGCCTTTCCTTAACATTTTGAATTATTGCACTAATCAAGGTAACTGATAGGTCTTAAGGCCCAAAAAGTGACTCATGGAACAGACGGATAGCAGAACACGTCGAGGTTCATATAGTTTCTACCTGCTGAGAAAGAATCAGCTACTGTCTACCTCTCGTAACTTTTATCTACAGTCTAAACCAGAAGTTGCTAAATTCTGGGTCGTCAGGTGAACTTTGATCTCGCGATTCTTCAGATGGGTCGCGGATAGTCTATAACCCAAAATGAAAAATCGTAAATTTTCATCACTTGTCAAACTTGCTAATGTGTTAAGTAGGTAGGCCCAATAATGGTAGCTAGACGAATGTAATTTTTAGATTTCATTGGTCATGAACAAAAGCGTTTCTGGAATCACTGTTCTGAAGATAGGAGGTTAGGACAGGAAAACAAAAGGTTGTTTCCCCACTCTCCACCTCCCTAAACTTCACTGCTAGCATGAACAAAATTATGGTAAGGCTGCATCATATCCAACATTATCTATCCATCACCGTCTACCAACGGCCGTCTCCCAGCATCTTACCACATTGTCCTGGTCGAAGATCTCTATGAGGACGAGAGGCGGGCTGGCCTTGATCTCTTCCTTGGTGCCGTAGACGAGGATGTCGTCCAGCACTAGCATCTCGTCCCACGTCGGGCTCAACGTCTCATCGATCACCTGAAGTGGATCAGGTAAGTTTAGAGTGAGTCTTAGGTGACAGATGTTTGAGTGTGCACGTAAGTCGATGACTGAGGGTAGTTTATGCATGAAAATGCCGTCTGCTAGACAATCATTAATGATCATAAGTTCTGGGGTGTGTTTTAGTGTAAATCTAGATATGGGTAATTATTATTAAGATTATTTTGTATGTTCCTGCAACGGGAGCCACTTACCTGTGTGACACGGCAGTGTTCTCCAATGATGACGCGGGCGAAGGGATCAGAGAGGCCAGAGGAGTCCGAGGCTATGAGGGAGCGAGCCTGGTACATGTGTGCGCGCAGCTGGAACGTCTGTACCAACAGTAACAACAGCAGTAGCAACGCCACCAGCAGAAAGAGCCCCATTAGCAGCAGCAACAGTAACAGTATCACCAACGAGAAAAAGATAATACTGTTATATCTAAACCGTACAACGCATTCTACATGTATCGTGTGCTTGTAGTATCTTCCAATACTCGTATATGTTTCAAGTGGTCATTAGTGGTTAAAAACGTTCGGTTTAAATGAAAGATCTCGGATTTGATTCCTGGGCTGGATGAGGGGTACACCTGCAGTCCTAGTCGCCTAGTTAGTATTTGGGTGATAACCGACATATGTGACATTCCTAAGGGTAGTTACATAACATAGAAAAGGATGGGCTTTGAAATGAACAAAGGCTGAAGCTTGTAAATACGACCTTTCATAAAAATAAAAGTAGATTGGAGTTTTAAATGTGTTATTTACACTATACTGTATATATGCACTCTAAATACGTTTTCGGTATATGGTCACTCTGGTGTAACACAAACAGATACACTCAAATATATACACAATATGAACCACAAGGAAAGGGAGATATAGCTTAGCTACTCAAAGTCGTTTTGCACTGAACTGCCAGTGCATCGCCAAGAGCAATGCAATATATGAACCTGAATGGAAAAAAAATGGGAAATCTGTGGGAGATCAACATGTTCTTTTGAAACCTAAATCGATTTCTTTCTTAATTTACGTTATTTAAGAAAGGTTAGGCTGGGTTTGGCTAGGTTAGACTGTTGTTTATTACAAAGATTAACTATTTATAATAGACACAACAGCAGTAAATGCAATAATACAAAAGTTACAGAAAACTGGGGACTCACCGAAAAAACCTGAACAGACATTTAATCACTGCTGTAATCTGCTTACAAAGTCACACATTCGACTGTCTTAGCCACGCTGAAATACTGATTTTGCTTAAGTGGCTGGGCTTTTGATACACACACACACACACACACACACACACACACACACACACACACAGGAGAGATTGAAGGAAGGAACCTTTAAATGGAGGCAACTAAATCGACTCAGGGGATGCAAAGGGAAATGAAGTGGGAGAACCAAAGGGAGAGGTCAGTTTTTGTTTACGGGCTCCAGGAAGTTGAAGGGGAAACTTATGAAGAAAGAAGACAGGAGGAGAAAAAAGTGATTGAAAGTATCATGAAAGCAATAAGAGGGAACGACATGACCCAGCTGACAAATTTTCTGAGAATAGGATGGTTTACAAGAGGAAAAAACAGCCTGTCAAAGTGATATTCAAGGTAGAATCGACGCAAAACCGGAACCTGCAGGACATACCGATATACCGGAGGATGTACGTGGACCGCAACAGAAGACAAGAAGAAAGGTAGAAACTTAAAGAGAGGGTACAAAGATGCAAGGAGGAAAGAGAAGCAAAGACAGAGATGAGCAGAATCCAGACTTTGGAGGAAGAGCAAACACAACCTCCTCAGAACCACCTACAGAAGGACCTCAACCACGACAACCTCAATGCAACCAAACAATCTAACCCAAAACCCACACAACATACATCACTGCTCCCCCATCACAAGCTCCACTCCTACAGCAATCCCCCCACAGTTACCTGCCAGGTTTTTCGCTCTCCCTTCCCAACGTTCTCCCCAGATCACAGATTTAGAAAAAAGTTGAAGGTTTGGTATACAGATGTGGATGGAATAACAAATGAATGTGAGGAGTGACATGAAAGAATCAAGGAGACGCCTCCAGACTTCACAGCACTCACAGAAACAAATCTCACTGAGATGATAACAGATGCAACCTTCCCACTTGGATATCAGATCCCAAGGAAAGATAGAGAGAGCATAGGGGAAGGAGGAGTTGCACTGCTCATTAAAAACCGATGGGGATGTGAGGAAATGGAAGGAATGAACGAAATGGGCGAAAGGGACTACATAGTAGATACAATTCAGTCTATGTGACATAAGGTAGTCATTGCAGTGATGTACAACCCGCCATAAAACTGTAGGAGGTCAAGAGAAGAATATGAAGTGAGCAACAGAACAATGGGGGATACACTAGCTGAGATGGCCAGAAGAGCTTACACGGGTAGAACAAAGTTACTAGTTATCAGTGATTTCAATCACAAGGAGATTGATTGGAAAACCTGGAGCATCATGGGGGTCCCAAAACTTGGAAAGCTAAGATGATGGATGAGGTACTGGAAAACTTCATGCATCAACATGTTAGGGACACTACGAGAGAGAGAGAGATGAGGATAAACCAGCAAGATTGGACCTCACATTCATCATGAGTAGCTCGGACATCGAGGACATCACATACGAAAGAACCATAAGAGCTAGTGAGCTTTGAATATGTAGTAGAGTTACATGGGAAGAGGGTAACACGAGTAAGATGGGAAAAGCCAAAATACAAAAGAGGGTATGAGGAACTTCCTGAAGAAGGCTTAGTGGGAAAGAGAATTGGTAGGAAAATCAGCAAAGAAAAAATGATGGACTACGTGACAACAAAATGCAAGGAGGCAGAGGAAAGGTTTGATCTCAAGGGCAACAGAAATAATGGGAAGACCAGAACGAACCTTTGGCTTACCCAATGGTGCAAGAAAGCAAAAACTAAGTGTGCTAGAGAATGGAAAAAGTACAGAAGACAAATGACCCAGGAAGATAAAGAGATTAGTCGCAGAGCCAGAAACGAGTAAGCACAGATAAGGAGGGATGCCCAGCGACAGTACAAAAACGACATAGCATGGAAAGTCAAGCAGTGCTGTATAGCCCTTGTGGTTTAGCGCTTCTTTTTGATTATAATAATAATAATAATAATGGAAAGTCAAGTGTGACTCAAAGCTGTTGTATAGCCAACGATCCTTGGCTAGCGCAGTGTTGTTGTTGATCAATACCACTCGCCCGTGGTTACAATAATATATATATGCTGCTCGTAGGCTAGTATAACAAACAGGGATGAGAATGAAATTAGCTTGCAAGCTCCCACACTACCGTATGTCATTAAGGCGTGATGTGGTTCTGGCTCACAATGGTGGGCCAGCGCAGTGTTGTTATTGATGTATAAATAAATATATATATATATATATATATATATATATATATATATATATATATATATATATATATATATATATATATATATATATAAATATATATATATATATATATATATATATATATATATATATATATATATATATATATATATATATATAAATATAATAAATATATATATATATATATATATATATATATATATATATATATATATATATATATATATATATATATATATATATATATATATATATATATAAGTATCTTTACTTCGAAACGTTTCGCCTACAGAGTAGGCTTCTTCCTTCGAGTACAGGAAGGTTGATAGAAGAGACGTGAAGACAATGTAATCAGTCCATCAACCTTGAAGTTTTGAGGTGGTCAGTCCCTCAGTCTGGAGAAGAGTATTGTTCCATAGTCTGAAACAATGTTGTTTTTAAGATATATATAAAAACTTATACACACACACCACACACACACACACACACACACACACACACACACACACACACAATGGATCAGGGAATACCTGACAGGGAGTCAACATCGAGTCATGGAACGTGAAGAGGTATCACAGTGGGAGCCTGTGACGAGCGGGGTCCCACAGGGGTCAGTTCTAGGACCAGTGCTATTTTTGATATATGCGAACGACATGATGGAAGGAATAGACTCTGAAGTGTCCCTATTCGCAGATGATGTGAAGCTGATGAGAAGAATTAAATCGGATGAGGATGAGGCAGGACTGCAAAGAGACCTGGACAGGCTGGACATGTGGTCCAGAAACTGGCGTCTCGAATTCAACCCTGCCAAATGCAATGTCATGAAGATTGGGGAGGGGCAAAGAAGACTGCAGACAGAGTATAGGCTAGGTGGACAAAGACTACAGATCTCACTCAGGGAGAAAGACCTTGGGGTGACCAAAACACCGAGCACGTCACCGGAGGCACACATCAACCAAATAATAACTGCTGCAGCATACGGGCGCCTGGCAAACCTGAGAATAGCGTTCCGATACCTTAATAAGAAATCGTTCAAGACACTGTACACTGTGTATGTTAGGCCCATACTGGAGTATGCAGCACCAGTATGGAACCCACACCTGGTCAAGCACGTCAAGAAGTTAGAGAAAGTACAAAGGTTTGCAACAAGGCTAGTCCCAGAGCTCAGGGGAATGTCGTACGAGGAAAGGTTGAGGGAAATCAGACTGACGACACTGGAAGACAGAAGGGTCAGTGGAGACATGATAACGACATACAAGATACTGCGGGGAATAGAGATAGGATGTTCCAGAGAGGGGACACAGAAACAAGTGGTCACAACTGGAAGCTGAAGACTCAGGCGAGTCACAGGGACGTTAGGAAGTATTTCTTCAGTCATAGAGTCGTCAGGAAGTGGAATAGCCTAGCAAGTGAAGTAGTGGAGACAGGAACCATACATAGTTTTAAGAAGAGGTATGACAAAGCTCAGGAAGCAGAGAGGGAGAGGACCTAGTAGCGATCAGTGAAGAGGCGGGGCCAGGAGCTGAGTCTCGACCCCTGCAACCACAATTAGGTGAGTTCATAACACACACACACACACACACACACACACACACATATATATATATATATATATATATATATATATATATATATATATATATATATATATATATATATATATATATATATGTGTGTGTGTGTGTGTGTGTGTACTCACCTAGTTGTACTCACCTAGTTGAGGTTGCGGGGGTCGAGTCCGAGCTCCTGGCCCCGCCTCTTCACTGATCGCTACTAGGTCACTCTCCCTGAGCCGTGAGCTTTATCATACCTCTGCTTAAAGCTATGTATGGATCCTGCCTCCACTACATCGCTTCCCAAACTATTCCACTTACTGACTACTCTGTGGCTGAAGAAATACTTCCTAACATCCCTGTGATTCATCTGTGTCTTCAGCTTCCAACTGTGTCCCCTTGTTACTGTGTCCAATCTCTGGAACATCCTGTCTTTGTCCACTTTGTCAATTCCTCTCAGTATTTTGTATGTCGTTATCATGTCCCCCCTATCTCTCCTGTCCTCCAGTGTCGTCAGGTTGATTTCCCTTAACCTCTCCTCGTAGGACATACCTCTTAGCTCTGGGACTAGTCTTGTTGCAAACCTTTGCACTTTCTCTAGTTTCTTCACGTGCTTGGCTAGGTGTGGGTTCCAAACTGGTGCCGCATACTCCAATATGGGCCTAACATACACGGTGTACAGGGTCCTGAATGATTCCTTATTAAGATGTCGGAATGCTGTTCTGAGGTTTGCTAGGCGCCCATATGCTGCAGCAGTTATTTGGTTGATGTGCGCTTCAGGAGATGTGCCTGGTGTTATACTCACCCCAAGATCTTTTTCCTTGAGTGAGGTTTGTAGTCTCTGACCCCCTAGACTGTACTCCGTCTGCGGCCTTCTTTGCCCTTCCCCAATCTTCATGACTTTGCACTTGGTGGGATTGAACTCCAGGAGCCAATTGCTGGACCAGGTCTGCAGCCTGTCCAGATCCCTTTGTAGTTCTGCCTGGTCTTCGATCGAGTGAATTCTACTCATCAACTTCACGTCATCTGCAAACAGGGACACCTCAGAGTCTATTCCTTCCGTCATGTGTGTGTGTGTGTGTGTACTCACCTATTTGTGGTTGCAGGGGTCGAGTCATAGCTCCTGGCCCCGCCTCTTCACTGATTGCTACTAGGTCCTCTCTCTCCCTGCTACATGAGCTATATCATACCTCGCCTTAAAACTATGTATGGTTCCCGCCTCCACTACTTCACTTTCTTGACTATTCCACGACTTGACTACTCTATGACTGAAGAAATACTTCCTAACATCCCTTCGATTCATCTGAGTCTTCAACTTCCAATTGTGACCTCTTGTGTCTGTGTCCCATCTCTGGAACATCCTGTCTTTGTCCACCTTGTCTATTCCGCGCAGTATTTTATATGTCGTTATCATCTCTCCCCTGACCCTCCTGGCCTCCAGTGTCGTCAGGCCGATTTCCCTCAACCTTTCTTCGTAGGACAATCCCCGTAGCTCTGGGACTAGTCTTGTTGCAAACCTTTGCACTTTCTCTAATTTCTTGACGTGCTTGACTAGTGTGGATTCCAAACTGGTGCTGCATACTCCAGTATGGGCCTGACGTAAATGGTATACAGGGTCTTGAACGACTCCTTACTGAGGTATCGGAACGCTATCCGTAGGTTTGCCAGGCGCCCGTATGCTGCAGCAGTTATCTGATTTATGTGCGCCTCAGGAGATATGCTCGGTGTTATACTCACCCCCAGATCTTTTTCCTTGAGTGAGGTTTGCAGTCTTTGGCCATCTAAACTATATTGTGTCTGCGGTCTTCTTTGCCCTTCCCCAATCTTCATGACTTTGCATTTGGCAGGGTTAAACTCAAGGAGCCAGTTGCTGGACCAGGCTTGCAGCCTGTCCAGGTCTCTTTGTAGTCCTGCCTGATCCTCATCCGATTTGATTCTTCTCATTAACTTCACATCATCTGCAAACAAGGACACTTCTGAGTCTATCCCTTCCGTTATGTCGTTCACATATACCAAGAACAGCACAGGTCCTAGGACTGACCCCTGTGGAACCCCGCTTGTCACAAGCGCCCACTCTGACACCTCGTCACGTACCATGACTCGTTGTTGCCTCCCTGTCAGGTATTCTCTGATCCATTGCAGTGCCTTTCCTGTTATGTGTGCCTGATCTTCTAGCTTTTTCAGTAACCTCTTGTGAGGAACTGTGTCGAAGGCCTTTTTGCAGTCCAAAAAAATGCAGTCGATCCACCCCTCTCTCTCTTGTCTTACTTCTGTCACCTTGTCATAAAACTCTAGTAGGTTTGTGACACAGGATTTTCCTTCCCTGAAACCATGCTGGTTGTCAATTATACACTTGTTTCTTTCCAGGTGCTCCACCACTCTCCTCCTGATGATCTTCTCCATGACCTTGCATACTATACACGTTAGTGATACAGGTCTGTAGTTTAGTGCCTCATGTCTGTCTCCCTTTTTAAAAATTGGGACTACATTTGCCATCTTCCATACCTCAGGGAGTTGCCCAGTTTCAAATGATGTGTTGAAGATCTTTGTTAATGGCACACACAATATCTCTGCTCCCTCTTTAAGGACCCACGGAGAGTGTTGTCTGGTCCCACCGCCTTTGAGGTGTCAAGTTCGCATAGCAGCTTCTTCACTTCCTCCTTGGTTATATGTACCTCATCCAGCACTTGCTGGTGTACCCCCCTGTTCTGATTTCCTGGAGTCCTACTGGTTTCCACTGTAAATACTTCTTTAAATCTCGTGTTGAGCTCCTGACATACCTCTCGGTCGTTGCTTGTGAACTCCCCATCACCCTTCCTCAGTCTGATTACCTGGTCCTTGACCGTTGTTTTCCTCCTGATGTGGCTGTACAACAGCTTCGGGTCAGTCTTGACTTTTGATGCTATGTCATTTTCATATTGTCGCTGAGCCTCCCTTCTTATCTGTGCATATTCATTTCTGGCTCTTCGGCTAATCTCTTTATTTTCCTGAGTTCTCTGTCTTCTGTACCTTTTCCATTCTCTAGTACACCTAGTTTTTGCCTCCCTACACCTTTGGGTGAACCAAGGACTTGCTCTGTTCTTCCCATTATTTCTGTTTCCCTTGGGAACAAACCTCTCCTCTGCCTCCTTGCATTTTGTTGCCACATAGTCCATCATTTCTTGTACTGGTTTTCCTGTCAGTTCCCTCTCCCACTGAATGTTTTGAAGGAAGTTCCTCATGCCTGAGTAGTTCCCCCTTTTGTAGTTTGGTTTTTCCCATCCTATTCCTGCTACTCTCTCCACTTGGAGCTCAACTATGTAGTCAAAGCACAGAACCACATGATCACTAGCTCCCAGGGGCCTTGTGTGTGTGTGTGTGTGTGTGGTGTGTGTGTGTGTGTGTGTGTGTGTGTGTGTGTGTGTGTGGTGTGTCTGTGTCTGTGTCTGTGTGTGCATGTGCGTGTGCGTGTGCGTGTGTGTGTGTGTGTGTGTGTGTGTGTGTGTGTGTGTGTGTGTGTGGTGTGTGTGTGTTGTGCGGTGTGTGTGTGTGTGTGTGTGTGTGTGTGTGTGTGTGTGTGCATGTGCGTGTGTGTGTGCATGTGCGTGTGTGTGTGTGTATAAGTTCTTACATATATCTTAAAAGCATTTTTCTCACCTGTATCAAGTACCTAAAGTTCTCTTTTGTATCTTGTAATTGTACTTGTGAAATGTTTACAAACATTTTAAGATACGTATAACTAAGAGTGCATCATGCAGTAGTAATGTGGTACTCAAATCTAAAAACAAAAACAAAGTAAAATACAACAAATCAGAAAATACGGTACACAATGATCCTTGAATCTAGAAGTATATGTATTTGTCGCTGCTGACCTGCTTCTGTGTGTAGTGGAGGGAGACGGGGGGCAGCGTGAGGCTCCTCTCGATGTTCCTTAGTTCGTAGCTGAGTTCGTAACCTTTAGGGATGCCTGGCACCAGGTTCTTCTTGTGCTTCATCAGACCCAGCCACATGTACACCTGCAGCTTGCCCTGGATGGCCCAGCCTCCAGGACCACTAGACTTGCGACCCGGCAACTGTAGCAGTGACAGACACGTTAATTTACAATGACTGTGGTAGTGAGTGGATACTTATAAAGTAACTGTGGTACACTATCTGAGGGAATGAAGTAGATACTTATACAGAGCCTGTGGTAGTGAGATATTTATTTAGTAACTGTGGCAGTGAAAGGGATACTTATGCACTAATCGTAGTAGTGAGAGAGATACTTATAAAATAACTGTTATAGTGAAAGATATACAGCTACTGTGGCAGTGAGAGAGATACTTATACACTGACTGTGGTAGCAGGTGATGTACTATTACAGTAACAACTGTAGCAGTGATTGAGTGTGTGTGTGTGTGTGTGTGTGTGTGTATTAATGGTGTGGGTAAAGACTGACTAGGGTGTTCTGTGATGCAGTAACTGGAAGTAGAGGGGAAAAAAAGGCAGAAAATGTCATATAATTTTTATATCTCATATATGTAGTGACTCGTGAGAAGCTAGCGTACAGGAGAGAGAAACTTTCATTAGACGAGGTTTCGCCCTAAAGTGGTTTCATCAAGGCTACACTTGAAAGTCAGTATCATTAAGGTTATTCTTGAAAATCAATATTATCAAGGTTATACTCGAAATGCAATGTTATCAAGATTATACTTGAGAATCAGTATTATCAGGTTATACCTGAGAATCAGTATTAACAAGGTTATACTTGAGAATCAGTATTATCAAGGCTATATTTGAGAATCAGTATTATCAAGGTTATACTTGAGAATCAGTATTAAAAAGGTTACACTTGAGAATCAGTATGATCAAGATTATTCTTGAGAATCAGTATTATCAAGGTTATTGTTGAGAATCAATATTGCCAAGTGTGGCATACAAAGAGTATGTTACAATTTATTCGGCGTATGTCACAATCCCATATAGGCTGCCTCTCAACCAGCGAACCAAGTGCTAAGGGTTTAACGATCAACAGGGTACCCATCGTTAAGTCAGTACCTTGGTTCATTGACCAATCACAGGCAAGCCCACCAAAACTGAAGCAATATAGCTCACTTGCAGTAAGCATTGGCAGACTTGCCTACCTGCTGGTTGAGTACGGTGCACTCTCTCTGGCTTCTGCATTGCCATCTGTAACCGTCGTGTACAACTATTATTATTATATGTGTACATAGTGTACATATTTGTATATAGTGGGTGAAGGCAAAATATACATAATAGTCTATTACTGAGTTTGTTTGCTCCAACTATCATTACAACCAGGTCTCACAGTCCATTCTTTACCTGTGTTCGCAATACCTAGGTTATACTCAAGAAAACAACATTTACTTCGATAACTGTCTAATAAATTGTATAGGTCTACTAGGTGTGTTTTTTTCACGTTCCCGTCTAATCTTGAATGATTTGATCGCACCCTGGATTAGTCTGGTCCCGTGTGGGTTGTCTTGATCACTTCGGGTTGGCTCTGAGGGGCCAGTCACTCTAAAAGGAACTGCTGAAGCACTTTCCGGAACGTTACTGTTGCTTCTGTCATTAGTGTTTGGATATTTGTATTATCATGATAGAACTCAGGTCTGAGATTTTGGGATCTCAAGGAATGCGATTTTCTCCTCTAAGGGGATTAAGACTTAACATAAGAAGGATGGAATGATACACAAATAATTCGCACATAGGAGAGAGGAGGTTACGACTACGTTTCGGTCCGACTTAGACCATTTACAAAGTGTGACTATGTAAATGGTCCTAGTCAGACCGAAACATCGTCGTAAGCTCCTCTCTCCCATGTGCGGGTTATTTGTGTATTGTTCCAGTCACAGTATTGTGCCTTTTTGTTCTTCAAGGATGGAAGGCTATTTTCACGAAGTTGGGAAGTCACAGTCATATGCGGGGAAATTGAAATCCTCAATATATGTAATTCTTACCTTGAGAAAAACAAGATTCTTAACTGGAGGAACATAAACTTCCTGACTTGAAAAATAAAATCTTCATCTTAAAGAAATTGAAATCATTATCTCGAAGTAAGATGAAGAAGATGGAAGTCTTAGTTTTCTTATTTTAGGAAGATGCAGTCCTTACCTCAGGGAAGGGTGCCAAGGAAACTGACCTTGAGGAAGAGTGTCTGGGTCGTGGCACAGTGCTTGCCTCGCTCCTGCTCCACGGGAGAGAAGAGCAGGTGCCTGGCTGCTAGACGCTGGTATGCCACTCTCTTGCCCCCGCTGATCATCCACACAAACACATCCGGCAGACTGTGTTGAGGCTGCATCCAGGAATCAAGAAGAATCAACAGAGGTGAGGGCCATCATAAAAATCAATATATTCACATTAATAGGGAGATTAAAAATGGGGGAAAGAAAAGCAAAACGAGACTATGAAATTAAAGTTGCTAGGGATTCGAAAACTAACCCGAAAGTTTTTTTTTCCAGGTTTATAGAACAAAGGTTAGAGAAAAGATACGTAGCTTAAAAGTAACTCTGGGCATCTTACTGACAAGGCGAATGAAATGTGCTCGATTTTTAATAATTATTTTCTCTCGGTTTTCACACAGGAAAAAACAGTAATAATATCCCAATAATTAATTTTTATAGTGGACTTGAAGATAATAAATTACGTAATATCAGTTACTCACTAACGATATGATAATCAAACAGATAGACAGATTGAAGCAAAATAAATCCCCGAGCCCCAATGAGCGTTTTTCAAGGGTTCTTAAGGAGTGTAAAATGGAACTTTGTGAACCACTGACTAATATTTTTAAAATATTTCCTTAAACAGGTGTAGTGTATATGTGGAAGATGGAAAATGTAATTCCTATTTATAAAGCAGAGGACAAGTCGTTACCGTCAAATTACCGCCCAATAAGCCAATTATAGCTGATATTATAAGAAACCATCTTGATAAGTATGATTTGATTCATGATACTCAGCATGGATTTACGAGAGGCCGTTCCTGCGTAACTAATTTGCTAACTTTATTCAGATATTGTTTATTTGGATTTTAGAGTACCGCACCAGAGACTGTTAAAGAAAGTGGCAGCTCATGACATTGGGGAAAAAGTGTTGTTATGGATCTAGTCATGGCTTACCAACAGGAAGCAAAGAGTGTGCATAAATGGGGTAAAATCCGAGTGGGGATCTGTAACAAGTGGCGTTCCACAGGGATCGGTCTTGGGCTCGTTGTTGTTTATAATATATATCAATGACCTTGATGAGGGAATTACTAGTGATATGAGCAAATTCGCCGATGACACGATGATAGGTAGGATAATTGATTCATAGGTAGATGTCACGATCTTCAGGAGGTTTTAGACAAACTCAGTTCGTGGTAAGAAAGTGGCAGATGCAGTTCAATGAAGATAAATGCAAAGTTCTGAAGTTCGGGAATGTTCATAACATCAGCTAAATAATGTAGAACTTAGCCGTACAGAATGCGAAAACTACCTGGGGGTTAAGGTAAGAAGAAACCTTAACCCAAGGCAAATAGATTACTGAGATTTATATCAAGAAGTGTAAGCAACGGAAGTCCAGAGGTCATACTACAGCTTTATACATCATTAGTAAGGCCTCCCCTAAATTACGCAGCGCAGTTCTGGTCTCCATTTTACAGAACGGACATAAATTCGTTACAAAACTTCAGCGAATAATGACAGAATTAATACATAGAATTAGAAATCTTACATATTGAGAAAGATTGAAACCCCTTAAATTACATTAACATGTAAGAAGAAGAATGAAGGGAGACTTGATCAAAGTGTATTAGCAAAGAGGACATAAATAAGGTCTTGAGGATATCTCTCCAAGAGAGAACCCGAAATAATGGATTCGAATTAGATATGTTTAGAATTAAAAAGGATATAGGAAAATATTGGTTTGGAAATAGGGTAGTTGATGAGTGGAACAGTCTGCCTAGTAGGGTTATTGAAGCTAAAACCTTGAGTAGATTCAAATTTATGTTCGATAAATACATGAGTGAGAAGGATTGGATTTAAGTTGGAATTCTGTTAGTGGGATGGATTTATGAAGGACCTGCCCAGTATGGGCCAACAGGCGTATTGCAATGTTCCTCCTTTCTTATGTTCTTAAGTATTATAATGTAAGGAGTGGTGGATGTTCGATACTCCAGCCTTTCCAGTAACTCTATTGTGACTAATGAGGTTGTTAGAGTCTCAGTGAATTACATATACATACATGTATGTATATATATATATATATATTATATATATATATATATATATATATATATATATATATATATATATATATATATATTTATATATATATGTATATGTATATGTATATGTATATATATATATATATATATATATATATATATATATATATATATATATATATATATATATATATATATATATATGTATATGTAAATATATGTACACATAATATATATATGTACATATATATATATATATATATATATATATATATATATATATATATATATATATATATATATATATATATATATATATATATATATATATATATATATATTATATATATATTTTTAACAAGTCGGCCGTTCTCCCACCGAGGCAGGGTGACCCAAAAAAAAAAAGAAAGAAAATCCCCAAAAAGAAAATACTTTCATCATCATTCAACACTTTCACCACACTCACACATTATCACTGCTTTTGCAGAGGAGCTCAGAATACAACAGTTTAGAAGCATATACGTATAGAGATACACAACATATCCCTCCAAACTGCCAATATCCCAAACCCCTCCTTTAAAGTGCAGGCATTGTACTTCCCATTTCCAGGACTCAAGTCCGACTATATGAAAATAACCGGTTTCCCTGAATCCCTTCACTAAATATTACCCTGCTCACACTCCAACAGATCGTCAGGTCCCAAGTATCATTCGTCTCCATTCACTCCTATCTAACACGCTCATGCACGCTTGCTGGAAGTCCAAGCCCCTCACCCACAAAACCTCCTTTACCCCCTCTTTCCAACCCTTTCGAGGACGACCCCTACCCCTCTTTCCTTCCCCTATAGATTTATATGCTTTCCATGTCATTCTACTTTGATCCATTCTCTCTAAATGACCAAACCACCTCAACAACCCCTCTTCTGCCCTCTGACTAATGCTTTTATTAACTCCACACCTTCTCCTAATTTCCACACTCCGAATTTTCTGCATAATATTTACACCACACATTGCCCTTAGACAGGACATCTCCACTGCCTCCAACCGTCTCCTCGCTGCTGCATTTACCACCCAAGCTTCACATCCATATAAGAGTGTTGGTACTACTATACTTTCATACATTCCCTTCTTTGCCTCCATAGATAACGTTTTTTGACTCCACATATACCTCAACGCACCACTCACCTTTTTTCCCTCATCAATTCTATGATTAACCTCATCCTTCATAAATCCATCCGCCGACACGTCAACTCCCAAGTATCTGAAAACATTCACTTCTTCCATACTCCTCCTCCCCAATTTGATATCCAATTTTTCTTTATCTAAATCATTTGATACCCTCATCACCTTACTCTTTTCTATGTTCACTTTCAACTTTCTACCTTTACACACATTCTCAAACTCATCCACTAACCTTTGTAATTTTTCTTTAGAATCTCCCATAAGCACAGTATCATCAGCAAAAAGTAACTGTGTCAATTACCATTTTGAATTTGATTCCCCATAATTTAATCCCACCCCTCTCCCGAACACCCTAGCATTTACTTCTTTTACAACCCCATCTATAAATATATTAAACAACCATGGTGACATACACATCCCTGTCTAAGACCTACTTTTACTGGGAAGTATTCTCCCTCTCTTCTACACACCCTAACCTGAGCCTCACTATCCTCATAAAAGCTCTTTACAGCATTTAGTAACTTACCACCTATTCCATATACTTGCAACATCTGCCACATTGCTCCTCTATCCACTCTATCATATGCCCTTTTTTAAATCCCTAAATGCAATAAAAAACTTCCCTACCTTTATCTAAATACTGTTCACATATATGCTTCAATGTAAACACTTGATCTACACATCCCTACCCACTCTGAAGCCTCCTTGCTCGTCCGCAATTCTACATTCTGTCTTACCTCTAATTCTTTCAATTATAACCCTACCGTATACTTTTCCTGGTATACTCAGTAAACTTATTCTCTAAAATTTTTACAATCTCTTTTGTCCCCTTTCCCCTTTATATAAAGGGACTATACATGCCTCCGCCAATCCCTAGGTACCTTCCCCTCTTTCATACATTTATTAAACAAAAGTACCAACCACTCCAACACTATATCCCCCCCTGCTTTTAACATTTCGTCATGATCCATCAGTTCCAGCTGCTTTACCCCTTTCATTCTACGTAATGCCTCACGTACCTCCACCACACTTACATTCCGCTCTTCTTCACTCCTAAAAGATGGTATACCTCCCTGGCCAATGCATGAAATTACCGCCCTCCCTTTCTTCCTTAACATTTAAAAGTTCCTCAAAATATTCTCGCCATCTACCTAATACCTCCCTCTCCCCATCTACTAACTCCCCTACTCTGTTTTAACTGACAAATCCATACTTTCCCTAGGCTTTCTTAACTTGTTTAACTCACTCCAAAATTTTTCTTATTTTCATTAAAATTTCTTGACAGTGCCTCTCCCACTCTTTCATCTGCTCTCCTTTTGCACTCTCTCACCACTCTCTTCACCTTTCTTTTACTCTCCATATACTCTGCTCTTCTTATAACACTTCTGCTTTGTTAAAAACCTCTCGTAAGCTACCTTTTTCTCTTTTATCACACACCTTTACTTCATCATTCCACCAATCACTCCTCTTTCCTCCTGCCCCCACCCTCCTATAACCACAAACTTCTGCCCCACATTCTAATACTGCATTTTTAAAACTTATCCAACCCTCTTCAACCCCCCCACTACTCATCTTTGCACTAGCCCACCTTTCTGCCAATAGTCGCTTTATATCTCGCCCGAACTTCCTCCTCCCTTAGTTTATACACTTTCACCTCCCTCTTACTTGTTGTTTCCACCTTCTCTTTTCCCATCTACCTCTTACTCTAACTGTAGCTAAACTAAATAATGATCCGATATATCAGTTGCCCTCTATAAACATGTACATCCTGGAGCCTACCCATCAACCTTTTATCCACCAATACTAATCTAACAAAACTACTTTCATTACGTGCTACATCATACTTGTATATTTATTTAATCCTCTTTTTCATAAAATATGTATTACTTATTACAAATTTCTTTCTACACATAGCTCAAATTAAAGGCTCCCTATTTACATTTACCCTGGCACCCCAAAATTACCTACTACTCCCTCCATAACATTTTTACCCACTTTAGCATTGAAATCCCCAACCACCATTACTCTCACACTTGATTCAAAACTCCCACGCATTCACTCAACATTTCCCAGAATCTCTCTCTCTCCTCTACACTTCTCTCTTCTCCAGGTGCATACACGCTTACTATAACCCACTTTTCACATCCAATCTTTACTTTACTCCACATAATCCTTGAATTTATACATTTGTAGTCCCTCTTTTCCTGCCATAGCTTATCCTTCAACATTATTGCTACTCCTTCTTTAGCTCTAACTCTATTTGAAACCCCTGACCTAATCCCATTTATCCTCTCCATTGAAACTCTCCCACCCCTTCAGTTTTGTTTCACTTAAAGCCAGGACATCCAGTTTCTTCTCATTCATAACATCCACAATCATCTCTTTCTTATCATTTGCACAACATCCACGCACATTCAGACTTCCCACTTTGACAATTTTCTTCTTCTTATTCTTTTTAGTAATCTTTACAGGAAAAAGGGGTTACTAGCCCATTGTTCCCGGCATTTTAGTTGACTTTTACAACACGCATGGCTTACGGAGGAAAGATTCTTATTCCACTTCCCCATGGATATAAGAGGAAAAGTAATAAGACCAAGAACTATTAAGATAAAATCAAAGAAAACTCAGATGAGTGTGTATAAATAAACGTGTACATGTATGTGTAGTGTGACCTAATTGTAAGTAGAAGTAGCAAGACGTACCTGTAATCTTGCATATTTATGAGACAGACAAAAGACACCAGCAATCCTACCATCATGTAAAACAATTACAGGCTTTCGTTTTACACTCACTTGGCAGGACGGTAGTACCTCCCTGGGTGGTTGCTGTCTACCAACCTACTACAATATATATATATATATATATATATATATATATATATATATATATATATATATATATATATATATATATATATATATAGGTATATGTGGAGTCAAAAAACGTTATCTATGGAGGCAAAGAAGGGAATGTATGAAAGTATAGTAGTACCAACACTCTTATATGGGTGTGAAGCTTGGGTTGTAAATGCAGCAGCGAGGAGACGGTTGGAGGCAGTGGAGATGTCCTGTCTAAGGGCAATGTGTGGTGTAAATATTATGCAGAAAATTCGGAGTGTGGAAATTAGGAGAAGGTGTGGAGTTAATAAAAGCATTAGTCAGAGGGCAGAAGAGGGGTTGTTGAGGTGGTTTGGTCATTTAGAGAGAATGGATCAAAGTAGAATGACATGGAAAGCATATAAATCTATAGAGGAAGGAAGGAGGGGTAGGGGTCGTCCTCGAAAGGGTTGGAGAGAGGGGGTAAAGGAGGTTTTGTGGGCGAGGGGCTTGGACTTCCAGCAAGCGTGCGTGAGCGTGTTAGATAGGAGTGAATGGAGACGAATGATACTTGGGACCTGACGATCTGTTGGAGTGTGAGCAGGGTAATATTTAGTGAAGGGATTCAGGGAAACCGGTTATTTTCATATAGTCGGACTTGAGTCCTGGAAATGGGAAGTACAATGCCTATACTTTAAAGGAGAGGTTTTGGGATATTGGCAGTTTGGAGGGATATGTTGTGTATCTTTATACGTATATGCTTCTAGACTGTTGTATTCTGAGCACCTCTGCAAAAACAGTGATAATGTGTGAGTGTGGTGAAAGTGTTGAATGATGATGAAATTATTTTCTTTTTGGGGATTTTCTTTCTTTTTTGGGTCACGCTGCCTCTGTGGGAGACGGCCGACTTGTTGAAAAAAAAATATGTATATGTATATATATATATATATATATATATATATTATATATTAATATATATATATATATATATATATATATATAATGTACATACATACAAGCCAGGTAGTTATAACATCTAGGATTTTAGGAGTGAGGAAGAGCCATATGTAAGTGCGGCTGGAAGTGCGTGAGGTAGTTGGTAAAATGAAAAGGAGTAAAGCAGCTGGGATTGATGGGATTAAGAGAGAAATGTTAAAAGCAGGTGGGGACATACTTTTGGTATGAAAGCGGGGAGGATACCTAGGGATTGGCACAGAACATGCATAATTCCTTTATATAGAGGCAATTGAGACCAAAGAGGGTAAGAACTATAGGGGAATAAGCATGTTGACGTATACCTGGTAAGGTGTATGATAGAATTATTACTGAAAGAATTAAGGGGAAGTGAGAGAACAGGATCGCAGATGAACAAGTAGGCTTCGGGAAGCATAGAGGATGTGTTGATCAGGTGTTTACAGTGAAGCATATAAGTGAACAGGAGGAGGAGTTGCTGAGGTGGCTTGGGCATTTAGAGAGGTTGGAACAAAATAGGATGAATTGGATGGCGTATAAATCTGTACTGGAGGTAAGGCGGTAGGGGTCATCCTAGGAAAGGTTAAAGGGAGGGGGTAAAGAAGGTTTTATAATGCGAGGGGTATCCAACAAGCGTGTGTGAACGTGTTAGATAGGAGTGAATGGAGGCAAGTGGTTTTTATGATTTCCGTGCTGTTGGAGTGTGACCACAGTAATATTAGTGAAGGGATTCAGGGAAACTAGTTAGCTGGACTTGAGTGCTGGGTGGCTGGGAATATTTGCAGTTTTGAACTATAGTACAGGCACGCCTCTGGCAATACAGTGATGGAGTGAGTGTTGGTGAATATTTCTTTTTTTTAGGTCACCCTGTCTCGGTGGGAGACTGCCGATACCGGCACTTTTCTCATTTTTTTTTATTTTTACAGTTATAATGACTACGTTCAATATATAAAGGCATGCGTATTACACAATAAATATTAAATAACACAGGAAGGTTAAATAATAACTTAATTTCTCAGAGATGATAATGTTATTACTCATTTCTTGGCCTGTTGTGTTAATTACTGGTTGTCAAAGGCACTTGTTGATAGTGTGTGTGTGTGTGTGTGTGTGTGTGTGTGTGTGTGTGTGTGTGTGTGTGTGTGTGTGTGTGTGTGTGTGTGTGTGTGTGTGTGTGTGTGTGTGAATAACTCAGTCGTGAGGTAGAGTCTGCCTGGAAGGAGTTCCTGGGGTCAGCGCCCCCTGTCCATAAAAAGACCTCACTCTGGATGGACTCACTGATGGCCAAACATTGACACGTCTCTTGGAGAACCGAAGACATAACCTTCCTCGGAAAATAATATATATGATGAAAGACCCATTACAACCTGAAAGATCCCTCTAACTAACAAGAACCCACTGACCGAAGAAGCCACTTTTAAGACTATACACTCTTAATAACAGCACTCAACCCAAGGAGGTAGGTTAGGTTAAGTTAGGTTAGGTTAGGTTAGGTTAGGTTAGGTTAGGTTAGGTTACCAATTCAGTACTACCAGAAAGAACCCCCCGTCTTTCTGTTAAATTAATAGAGAAACGCTAAACTTGCAGGGAAATTGGGAGGCCATCATATTTGATCTGAGGAAGGGGAAGGTGATTTTATTTTCTTAGGTCAAGAGTCCTTCAGGAACATCAAAGCCCAGACCTTGAAGGAAAAGGTTTTAGTAGAGGTACTCACGTCTTCAATGAGTTCCTTGAGCTTGGCCAGGTAGGAGTGAGTGGTCTTGTAACGCTCCTTGAAGCTATGTCGGCTCAGAAGTGCCTTGGTGTGCCTCGCAGAGCTCCCCAGATGGTCCTGTTGGCATCAACCACAACTAAGACAATTGTCATTTTCAGAAATCAGATACGTATTATAAAGACAGAATACAGATGTGAGGGCAAGGTGATGGGAAACAGATGTGACAACATCTGAGCTAAAAAAAAATATGAAGCAGAATAAAACAAATGAGGAGATGGGTACCAGGAGGCCTCACCAGGGGACGCTTGTGAAGAGTGACACACAAACATACAGCTGAAATAAGAGCGATAAGCAGGGAAAATGTACTGCAACAGGATAAGTGTTTAAGCAAGCGAGAAAATACACAATATCGTATGAACTAACTACACGACTAAGAATTTCACAGGCACCGAATAACATTGGTAAATCTTCAGCAATTTTCTATTCGCCACTTCAGAGCAAAACAAACATTTAAGATTTATTTCAGTTTCGATATAGCAGAAATTCACATCACGTTATGTCAGGTGACACACGAGGATCCTCTCATTAATCCCAATGTATGCCTGGTGGATCCTCTCATTAATCCCAATATATGCCTGGTGGATCCTCTCATTAATCCCAATGTATGCCTGGTGGATCCTCTCATTAATCCCAATGTATGCCTGGTGGATCCTCTCATTAATCCCAATGTATGCCTGGTGGATCCTCTCATTAATCCCAATGTATGCCTGGTGGATCCTCTCATTAATCCCAATGTATCCCTGGTGGATCCTCTCATTAATCCCAATGTATGCCTGGTGAATCCTCTCATTAATCCCAATGTATGCCTGGTGGATCCTCTCATTAATCCCAATGTATGCCTGGTGGATCCTCTCATTAATCCCAATGTATGCCTGGTGGATCCTCTCATTAATCCCAATGTATCCCTGGTGGATCCTCTCATTAATCCCAATGTATCCCTGGTGAATCCTCTCATTAATCCCAATGTATCCCTGGTGGATGCTCTCATTAATCCCAATGTATCCCTGCTGGATCCTCTCATTAATCCCAATGTATCCCTGGTGGAACCTTTAATTAATCCCAATGTATCCCTGGTGGATCCTCTCATTAATCCCAATGTATCCCTGGTGGATCCTCTCATTAATCCCAATGTATCCCTGGTGGATCCTCTCATTAATTCCACTGTAACCCTGGTGGAACCTTTAATTAATCCCAGTGTATCCCTTGTGGATCCTCTCATTAATCCCAATGTATCCCTGATGGAACTTTTAATTAATCCCAGTGTATCCCTGGTGAATCCGCTCATTAAACCCAATGTATCCCTGGTGGAACCTCTCATTAATTCCAATGTATCCCTGGTGGAACCTCTCATTAATTCCTATGTTTCCCTGGTGGAACCTCTCATTAATCCCTATGCATCCCTATTGGATCCTCTTCTTAATTCCAATGTATCCCTGGTGGAACCTTTAATTAATCCCAGTGTATCCCTGGTGGATCCTCTCATTAATCCCAATGTATCCCTGGTGGAACTTTTAATTAATCCCAGTGTATCCCTGGTGAATCCGCTCATTAAACCCAATGTATCCCTGGTGGAACCTCTCATTAATTCCAATGTATCCCTGGTGGAACCTCTCGTTAATTCCAATGTATCCCTGGTGGAACCTCTCATTAATTCCTATGTTTCCCTGGTGGAACCTCTCATTAATCCCTATGCATCCCTATTGGATCCTCTCATTAATTCCACTGTATCCCTGGTGGAACCTTTAATTAATCCCAGTCTATCCCTGGTGGATCCTCTCATTAATCCCAATGTATCCCTGGTGGAACCTCTCATTAATTCCAATGTATCCCTGGTGGAACCTCTCGTTAATTCCAATGTATCCCTGGTGGAACCTCTCATTAATTCCTATGTATCCTTGGTGGAACCTCTCACCAATCCCTATATATCCCTGGTGGATTCTCTCCTTAATCCCAATGTATACCTGGTGGAACCTCTCATTAATTCCAGTGTATCCTTGGTGGAACCTCTCATTAATCCCAATGTATCCCTGGTGGAACCTTTCATTAAATTCAATGTATCCCTGGTGGAACCTCTCATTAATGAGAATATATATATATGGTGGAATCTTTCATGTATCCACATGTATCAGGTCACACACAATGAGTCTGTCATTCATCCCTATATATCCCTGGGGAACCTCTCATAAATACCTAGGTATCCCTGATCAGGTTTCACACAGGAAACCTCTCATGAATCACCAAGTATCCCTGGTCTTATCACACGAGAAACCTTTAATTTATTTCGATGTATCCCTGGTCAGATCATACAGGGAACCTTTCATTAATCCCAATGTATCCCCAGTCAGGTCACACAATTCTCACTCAGTACAGAGGTCAGGTCACTCAGGATTCTCACTTAATACAGGTCAGGTCACTCACAACTCTCACTTAACACAAATCAATTCACTCAGGACTCTCACTGAACACAAGTCAGGTCACTCACAACTCTCACTGAACACAAGTCAATTCACTCAGGACTCTCAATGAACACAAGTCAGGTCACTCACAACTCTCACTGAACACAAATCAGGTCACTCACAACTCTCACTTAACACAAGTCAATTCACTCAGGACTCTCACTGAACACAAGTCAGGTCACTCACAACTCTCACTGAACACAAGTCAATTCACTCAGGACTCTCACTCAACACAAGTCAGGTCACTCACAGCTCTCACTTAACACAAGTCAGATCACTCACAACTCTCACTTAACACAAGTCAGGTCACTCACAACTCTCACTTAACACAAGTCAGGTCACTCACAGCTGTTGCTTAACACCGAGATCAGGTCACTCACAGCTCTCACTTAGCACAAGTCAGGTCACTCGCAACTGTCATTTAACACAGGTCGGGTCACTCACAACTCTCGCTGAACACAAGTCAGGTCACTCACAACTCTCACTTAACACCGAGGTCAGGTCACTCACAATCTCCCTCTGGCAGAGTCTGACTCGCTCCTTGTCCAGCTTGGTTCTCTGGCCAGACGAGTTGGAGGAGTATGCCCGAGCCAGGTTCATGTACTGACCACACCCTGCCATCAGCTCCTCTAAGACCTCCCTCAGTCGAGGCTCAGCGTTTTCGTCCTCCTCCTCCAGTAATGACGACACTTCAGACAGACCTTCCTCCTAAAGTAGAACAAACCGAAAGATTATGTACCATAGAAACTAATATACCACAGTAACTGTGGTTAATATGCCAGAGTAACTGTGGCTAATATACCACAGTAACTGTGGTTAATATGCCAGAGTAACTGTGGTTAATATACCACAGTAACTGTGGCTATATACCACAGTAACTGTGGTTAATATGCCAGAGTAACTGTGGTTAATATACTACAGTAACTGTGGTTAATATGCCAGAGTAACTGTGGTTAATATACCACAGTAACTGTGGTTAATATGCCAGAGTAACTGTGGTTAATATACCACAGTAACTGTGGTTAATATGCCAGAGTAACTGTGGTAAATATACCACAGTAACTGAGGATAATATACCACAGTAACTGAGGATAATATACAACAGTAACTGAGGATAATATACAACAGTAACTGAGGATAATATACCACAGTAACTGAGGATAATATACCACAGTAACTGAGGATAATATACAACAGTAACTGAGGATAATATACCACAGTAACTGAGGATAATATACAACAGTAACTGAGGATAATATACAACAGTAACTGAGGATAATATACGATAGTAACTGAGGATAATATACAACAGTAACTGTGGTTAATATACCACAGTAACTGAGGATAATATACCACAGTAACTGAGGATAATATACAACAGTAACTGAGGATAATATACCACAGTAACTGAGGATAATATACAACAGTAACTGAGGATAATATACAACAGTAACTGAGGATAATATACAACAGTAACTGAGGATAATATACAACAGTAACTGAGGATAATAAACGATAGTAACTGAGGATAATATACAACAGTAACTGAGGATAATATACAACAGTAACTGAGGATAATATACAACAGTAACTGAGGATAATATACGATAGTAACTGAGGATAATATACAACAGTAACTGAGGTATATATACAACAGTAACTGAGGATAATATACAACAGTAACTGAGGATAATATACCACAGTAACTGAGGATAATATACAACAGTAACTGAGGATAATATACAACAGTAACTGTGGTTAATATACCACAGTAACTGAGGATAATATACCACAGTAACTGAGGATAATATAAAACAGTAACTGAGGAAAATATACCACAGTAACTGAGGATAATATACCACAGTAACTGAGGATAATATACCACAGTAACTGAGGATAATATACCACAGTAACTGAGGATAATATACAACAGTAACTGAGGATAATATACAACAGTAACTGAGGATAATATACCACAGTAACTGAGGATAATATACAACAGTAACTGAGGATAATATACAACAGTAACTGAGGATAATATACAACAGTAACTGAGGATAATATACGACAGTAACTGAGGATAATATACAACAGTAACTGAGGATAATATACAACAGTAACTGAGGATAATATACGATAGTAACTGAGGATAATATACAACAGTAACTGAGGATAATATACAACAGTAACTGAGGATAATATACAACAGTAACTGTGGTTAATATACCACAGTAACTGAGGATAATATACCACAGTAACTGAGGATAATATACAACAGTAACTGAGGATAAATATAAACAGTAACTGAGGATAATATACCACAGTAACTGAGGATAATATACAACAGTAACTGAGGATAATATACAACAGTAACTGTGGTTAATATACCACAGTAACTGAGGATAATATACCACAGTAACTGAGGATAATATAAAACAGTAACTGAGGATAATATACCACAGTAACTGAGGATAATATACCACAGTAACTGAGGATAATATACCACAGTAACTGAGGATAATATACCACAGTAACTGAGGATAATATACAACAGTAACTGAGGATAATATACAACAGTAACTGAGGATAATATACCACAGTAACTGAGGATAATATACAACAGTAACTGAGGATAATATACCACAGTAACTGAGGATAATATACAACAGTAACTGAGGATAATATACCACAGTAACTGAGGATAATATACAACAGTAACTGAGGATAATATACAACAGTAACTGAGGATAATATACCACAGTAACTGAGGATAATATACAACAGTAACTGAGGATAAAATACAACAGTAACTGTGGTTAATATACCACAGTAACTGAGGATAATATACCACAGTAACTGAGGATAATATAAAACAGTAACTGAGGATAATATACCACAGTAACTGAGGATAATATACCACATTAACTGAGGATAATATACCACAGTAACTGAGGATAATATACCACAGTAACTGAGGATAATATACAACAGTAACTGAGGATAATATACAACAGTAACTGAGGATAATATACCACAGTAACTGAGGATAATATACAACAGTAACTGAGGATAATATACCACAGTAACTGAGGATAATATACAACAGTAACTGAGGATAATATACCACAGTAACTGAGGATAATATACAACAGTAACTGAGGATAATATACAACAGTAACTGAGGATAATATACAACAGTAACTGAGGATAATATACCACAGTAACTGAAGATAATATACGATAGTAACTGAGGATAATATACAACAGTAACTGAGGATAATATACAACAGTAACTGAGGATAATATACGACAGTAACTGAGGATAATATACAACAGTAACTGTGGTTAATATACCACAGTAACTGAGGACAATATACCACAGTAACTGAGGATAATATACAATAGTAACTGAGGATAATATACGATAGTAACTGAGGATAATATACAACAGTAACTGAGGATAATATACAACAGTAACTGAGGATAATATACGACAGTAATTGAGGATAATATACGATAGTAACTGAGGATAATATACGATAGTAACTGAGGATAATATACGACAGTAACTGAGGATAATATACAACAGTAACTGAGGATAATATACAACAGTAACTGAGGATAATATACGATAGTAACTGAGGATAATATACGACAGTAACTGAGGGTAATATACGATAGTAACTGAGGATAATATACGACAGTAACTGAGGATAATATACGACAGTAACTGAGGATAATATACGATAGTAACTGAGGATAATATACCACAGTAACTGAGGATAATAAACGACAGTAACTGAGGATAATATACCACAGTAACTGAGGATAATATACCACAGTAACTGAGGATAATATACCACAGTAACTGAGGATAATATACCACAGTAACTGAGGATAATATACCACAGTAACTGAGGATAATATACCACAGTAACTGAGGATAATATACCACAGTAACTGAGGATAATATACCACAGTAACTGAGGATAATATACCACAGTAACTGAGGATAATATACGACAGTAACTGAGGATAATATACGACAGTAACTGAGGATAATATACCACAGTAACTGAGGATAATATACCACAGTAACTGAGGATAATATACCACAGTAACTGAGGATAATATACCACAGTAACTGAGGATAATATACTACAGTTACTGAGGATAATATACCACAGTAACTGAGGATAATATACCACAGTAACTGAGGATAATATACCACAGTAACTGAGGATAATATACCACAGTAACTGAGGATAATATACCACAGTAACTGAGGATAATATACCACAGTAACTGAGGATAATATACCAGAGTAACTGAGGATAATATACTACAGTTACTGAGGATAATATACCACAGTAACTGAGGATAATATACCACAGTAACTGAGGATAATATACCACAGTAACTGAGGATAATATACCACAGTAACTGAGGATAATATACCACAGTAACTGAGGATAATATACCACAGTAACTGAGAATAGTATACCACAGAAACTGAGGATAATATACCACAGAAACTGAGGATAATATACCACAGTAACTGAGGATAATATACCACAGAAACTAAGAATAATATACCACAGAAACTGAGGATAATATACCACAGTAACTGATGATAATATACCACAGTAACTGAGGATAATTTACCACAGTAACTGAGGATAATATACCACAGTAGCTGAGGATAATATACCACAGTAGCTGAGGATAATATACCACAGTAGCTGAGGATAATATACCACAGTAGCTGAGGATAATATATGACAGTAACTGAGGATAATATACCACAGTAACTGTGGATAATATACCACAGTAACTGAGGATAATATACCACAGTAACTGAGGATAATATACCACAGTAGCTGAGGATAATATACCACAGTAGCTGAGGATAATATACCACAGTAGCTGAGGATAATATACCACAGTAACTGAGGATAATATACAACAGTAACTGAGGATAATATACCACAGTAGCTGAGGATAATATACCACAGTAGCTGAGGATAATATACCACAGTAGCTGAGGATAATATACCACAGTAGCTGAGGATAATATACCACAGTAACTGAGGATAATATACAACAGTAACTGAGGATAATATACCACAGTAACTGAGGATAATATACAACAGTAACTGAGGATAATATACCACAGTAGCTGAGGATAATATACCACAGTAACTGAGGATAATATACAACAGTAACTGAGGATAATATACCACAATAACCGAGGATAATATACCACAGTAACTGAGGATAATATACCACAGTAGCTGAGGATAATATACCACAGTAGCTGAGGATAATATACCACAGTAGCTGAGGATAATATACCACAGTAACTGAGGATAATATACAACAGTAACTGAGGATAATATACCACAGTAGCTGAGGATAATATACCACAGTAGCCGAGGATAATATACCACAGTAGCTGAGGATAATATACCACAGTAGCCGAGGATAATATACCACAGAAACTGAGAATAATATACCACAGTAGCTGAGGATAATATACCACAGTAGCCGAGGATAATATACCACAGTAGCTGAGGATAATATACCACAGAAACTGAGAATAATATACCACAGTAGCTGAGGATAATATACCACAGTAGCTGAGGATAATATACCACAGAAACTGAGAATAATATACCACAGTAGCTGAGGATAATATACCACAGTAG